GGGTACGATTGTTTATAAGTCGGTTGGGGCATATTCATTACTGAATATGTAGGGGTGGGCATCGCTGGGATGAGAGAACGACAGCAAAACTCTTTCCTGTGATTGAGGAAAAAGCTGCAATCGGTAATGACACACAATGAGCGTGCCAGCATGCAAACATAAACGTGTGAATTTCATTGCGATTTTACATGTACTGTATTTACTTGTGTATAAGTATAATCAAAAGTAGATAATAACAACATAAGATTGTTATTATCTACTCTTGGTATAATTCATGTATATTATAAGTCTCACCCCATATTTTGCATTGAAAAGTTGGTACAAACATTGGTACATTAACAAGATTTTTTAGCCTCGTCTATAAGTCGCACCTCCTGATTTTTTTTATTGAAATTGTGTACAAAAAGCGCGGTTTATACACAAGGAAATACGGTATATATACTGTAAGCGTAATACACACGCACGCACGCATGCAAACGCGCGTGCAGACGCATGCCTATGTGCGAGTCTATATGCACGCAGGGAATACTGGCAAAAATATCAGGAGTGTATAATATATATATATATATATCTACATCTATCTATATATGTTATATATGTATATATATCTATTTATATATCTATATATATAATATAGATCTCTATATTATACACTCCTGATAATATGATATGCACTGAACCAAAAGAGGACATTAACGGCTCATAGATTGCACAAGTAAAATTCGGACAAGTAAAAATTGCTTCTTGTTGCCCGACAGGACAACCAGATCTGAAAATAAGCGTCGAGGCCTGAGTTGTTTCTTCGATGAGCAAATATATCCTTGATACATATTTTTACAGTTTTATTTTCAAAGCTAACGTTCAGTTAAAGTTTAGTGAGTTATTTACTGACGTTTTTACAGTAATTAGTGACATATGTCAAGTCAGGGAGTCCGACAGTAAATGAGGGAGTATTTGACTCCGGACTCACGTTAATTTCGCACCCTGATACATTACACTACACGATCAAGATCAAATGCATGGTATTGTAAGCATTGTTTAGATATGCTATCTAACCCTGCAACCCTATGCCATAGGGCAAAACTTCTTGTGCTTAGTTAGGTAAACTATAACTTCCTACTGTTTGAACTTTTTAAAATAAGTCACACTGTATAGATTTACCTTATATTAGAGGGCAGCGGTTATTATATTGATAATAAACTGGTTTGTCGTTATACTTCTCCCATAAATTCAACCCGTCTTAGTGAGATATAAGAAATGTTGTTAAAAAGTGAGCATTAAAATTAAAATTAAATTTTGACCCCCCTGGTAGTGGAGTTAACATGAGCAGCAGCTGCAGCAACATTCACCACAGTATTTGCTTACAGTTCCTGGAAAACATACATAACAGTTTTATGTCAGGCATGATAGTAATTACGTGTACTATGTCCCAATGATTTTGCAGCATTTCCAGTACCACGAGCCACAATGCAGTTAGTTTCAATCTTATTGCATACCCACGTTATTGGCAGCGTATTTCTGGGAAATGCGTATATGCGTATATGGGAAAAAAATTTCCTGCTGGTAGCTAGAGATGTCCAATAGTAATGTGTTTTAGATAGTCAATTAGTCGTACAGCAAACACTAATGTAGTCCTGCACATCTGTGATATGTGCTGGTGCAAGTGACTCATCGAATATGGACCTCTATGTTTTGGTTTCAATTTGACTGAAACCAACAGGCTGAGCAGTCAACTGCTATTCCTGTAATTTCAGGACGTGTGAGGAAAAGCTACTCGGTGTGACTCATACTACATATTCAACACCAAATTATGCCTTGCTTCTGAAAATCTGTCTTCACTTGGGATTCGTACTTTCTCAATTACTTTAAACTAACTTTCCTTGCTTGCATGTGGTTATGCTATAGCTCTGGTGATATACTGGTATGTGACGGACAAGTGTATTACAGGTTCGAAGTGGGAGGTGCAAACATCCTGTAAACCATTATGAGAATGTATTTTTCTTTACGAACACATACTATATAGATCCTAGTTTGCGGTGGAGTTTTACAATTCAGCTGTACTGTTGGTGGTGTTGTTCTAGCTAAAAGCAAATTAGGAGCAGGAGAGCAAAGTTAAATCAAGAAAACAAATAAGGCTGAAATTCTTTTTGCATGTATCATCGGGTAGGGGTTGGAGTGATAGAAGCCAGCGATGCGGTGATTGTCTGTAAACATCACAGCCTATGGGAGGCATTCCTCATCCAACGAAGCACTCCAACCAACTGCATTGAGTTATTTACGTGGTGCTGAGGCTTAGGTACTGTTTGAGGGCAATTCGCATTTTAAGTATTCTTTCAAGCAGCTTCGAAAAGAGTTTACTTGCAGGTGAAACTGATAAACAAATGTAATTACTCTACTGACTCAAAGCTCACAGGGCAAAACTGTTAGTCAAATCGGGTGCATATTTTGTTCAGATCGATGCATAAATTTAAATACGTACGTGCAATAGTACATCTAGTTACAGGGATAGAAATTAACTTTTCAACAAGGGAATCTAATGGACTCCCTGCTCTCAAAAAGAGGGAGTCCACAGCAAAATGAGGGAGTCCGCAGTCTACAGTTCAAAATTAAAGATATTAACAATAACGCATGCATGTGCTTATTTTGAAGATTCATGCAGTTGCACGTCTGGCAATATTTTTTGACATTTGCTGAAAAAAATACGGTAATTCTGCGAGGCCGTGCTCTGGAACGAACTAGTTAGTATATATATATATATATATATATATCAATAATAACAAATATCTACATGAGAATAAAGACTGTAAATGCAATCCACATTATAAAACACATCTGCAAGGTATTATCGAGACGTTTCACATATAAACGTACGTATGTCAGCTCTCTGTTCCTGCGGTAATGTCACCTGTGGTCGTGACACTAGCTTCATCAACGTAGTTGCCGCTAACAGCTGTGCATATGAAGACTAGAAAAACAAGCCCTTATATCAACAATAATATTGTCTTCGCTCATTCGATACAAAAACATTAAACAAACTTTACAAATCGTTTCTTTTGCAAAAACATTTCACAGCATCCTTATCGGCTAGTAATCGTTTTGATCCTGAGAATGATGATGGACACCGACAAACATTCGACCTGCGTGACCTCTGCGTGACCTTTGTTCACTCACACTCTCTCGCTCCAGCAGGATTTGGCATTTCGATAAGCAGTCAGGCGAATTTGTGAACTCGATGAGCGCTTTTTCCGCCTGGGTGCGCTGAGATGCGTCCGTTGTTTCGTACAGCTGCTTACACAGAACCTCCAGCTGAACAACCTACAATTACAATATCATTACAATATCATTACAATGTAATTCCAATATCATTATACATTATAGAAGCCTCATATACCATTGCACATCATAGAATAATCAAATGCCATTACCCATCGTAGAATAATTAATTATCATTACACATTGTAGAATCATCAAATATCATTAAGCATCGTAGAATCATCAAATATCATTAAGCATCAATCATAGAAATGTTAAGCATCGTTTCATGTGGAAATGTCACAGAAATGCATTATTATGCAATCACTGTTCGGTTTATTCTATAAAATATTATAAATATGTCATTCGTCCTAATATTTGCAATGAAAATCGAGTATAATTAAAAGCAACTTGCTACTCCCTAACAGTTATCATCGTAAAAGAACAAGTCTGCTTTTGTTAGATGTTTGTTTCCGATCATACTGATCGAAATGTTGTGGTTTTTAGTATCGAATATTGTAGATGATATCGCATTAGCTTTCAGAATTATTCATATTAAACTCCTGATATTATCCTAAAAATATATAAATGCAGAAACATGGCATGGATTATTCAGTTTGTCCCTATTTAATAATATATTAAGTATTTAACCCTGATTTTGTATTCTACCAACAGTGCAACAATGACACCGGATTATACTGAAGATGCCTCTACTTCATTACCAATGCCAATTTCAATTCCAATTACAATTAAATTATCAGTTTCCCAATACTGAAAATAACTAGACTTATAGTTTGTATCCTCACAGAATATAGCAATGGTAACTATTATGAATCAAGCCATGTCTATACACTAGTGATATCACGATCATCACTTATACTCGATCATCGGTTGAACAGTGGCTCGAACCAAGCGCTTGGTTATCAAAATCCATAATCGATTTCATCGAAAAAAAAGAAAAAAAAATTCGAAAAAGTGATGAGAATCAGAGATATCATCGCTACTATACAAGTTATCCTTTATTAACATACATGTTTTATACACACAGTAGTAAACAGTGCAAAACAAACAGTAAACAAGGCTAAACAAGCACATACATGCACACGACATTACGCACACGCAGGCATTCAACACCCTGAGTAACCGATTGTAACCGATCATCGGTTACTTGGGTCCAACTGATGATCCATTACGAAATTACAACCGATTGACAACACTACTAAACACTCAGCACGCACTAGCACACCCTATCGGGCAATATATGTGACATGTTACATATAACACATATTCTGTCCGCTAGGTGGCGCTACAAGGCAGGAATAACTTTTTTAAATCAAATCGTTTTGAAACATGAATATTACCCAAAATACATTATAATACTGACAGCACGAGTGAGGTCACTGGTATTACTTACCGCAGCACAACAGTTACAGACTCTAATCGAGATGTAACGTAAGCCTTTGTCACTTCCGGCGTGTAGGTTTCCAAGAGATGAGGTTCGGAAGCTTTCACGTATGGGACGGATGCGACCATTCGCTGCCACAGTGACAACAAGTAGTGTACGCTGTTTGGTGAGAAACTCCACATCTGCGGGAAAAGAAAAATTCAGCTAATTATCCACGAGGGCTATAGCACAACAAATTCTAGCTATTCAAAGAAATGTCGCATCGTCGTGTTTCCGCCGTCACTAGTTACTCTACAACTGGACTTTTCTTTTCTTCACCTGCTTAAAGTCTTGGCGAAAATCTTCCGAACCATAATACATAATATACTGTATTGGGCCAGACACAATTAGCGTTACGGAATGCAAGGCACCAGCCAAAAAACACCAAGCGGACAGCAAAATTTGCTTACACACCACAAACATTTAGCGGCATACAGTTATACAAGTACGGCCTACTTATTCAGTAATCTTTAGCTTTGCGCAGTGGCAGTATCCTAGCCAATGAGGTTTATCCGAGGCGGGATTATTGCTAGTTGAAAACTTTTCCCAATACCCCGCGGGCACGACCTGAAATATGGTCGGGTCTCGCAATTTCTGATCGCTCCTAAGGGAGCACAAAACTCAATCAAAAATATGAAATCTATTAACCTGCAAGCATGCTTGATCATTAACATTTTATTGATTGCAGATATTCACGTTTTTGCGCATTTGCATGTTTACCAAGAATTGTGTGGAAAACTGTTCCTACAGTCCTATGAGATTGTGGTTACACAACATTAAACAAGTTATGGATTTTTGTATACAGGTACTTTTTAATTAATTAATAAATGTAGGCATATTCAGTATATTATATTTAGCTAGTAGTGTGACAGGGAGGGATGTCATTAATAATAAGTCATATCCAAAATATTATAGCAAAGATGTGTGTGCTGGTTAAACACAAGCTACAATAATAAAATATGATAGATATGTTAGGAAATGCAGCTCCCACTCAGTTAAACCCGATTACCTAATTTCAGTGCCCATTACTTTTCTTGTGGCCATCTATTGAACCTAGCACAAAATAGCATATAGTATATTAACCATCACTAACCTAACAAACTAATTTCACTAACCTGTAGAGTGGTTATGGTAAACTCGGCCACCAGCTTAATGATTTCTGGATAGTTTTCAACCTTTACTAGCTCCCCAAGTTGGTAGTTGGATTTCAGTCTTGCCAGCAAACGACAAAACTCGTGATAGTTGTTGGGATCAGAAAGACTCTATAAAAGTACAAATACATATAGATACAGATCATATGCATAGGTAAACTAAGCAAATATAACCAACGTAAATGACACATTATCCATATAATTATTCTCCAATTAAATTAAATAAGCAAAAATGTTGAACAAGACCAATTTTGCACCATCATGAATCTCACTATGCAAATTAAACCCTTCTTAAAATCCATCTTAAATTACTATTAGTGCCTCTCCTGTCCTGGCAGTTTAAGGTCGTGTATACCTGTGGGTTTCCAAGAATGGCTTTCACTCCTAAGACAAGACGTGCTAAAAACTTGGCCCTCTCCTCACTATTGAACAACGACCGGCGTATGGATGCAATCAGTACCAGACAAGACAGTGCCTAAGAGGAAAAACAAAAGCTGTGTGATGCAGAGAAATCACACATCTAACCAACTGCAAGATTTTATCATATATAGCAATGACAAAAATGGTGGTCAGAACGGCTATTGACGATGATGGCACTAACTAGAGGCGACAGAACGTTTTTTTAAACGTGCAATAAATCACGGACAACGGAAGTTAAGTAAGTGAAAAGTGAAAAGCGCAGTGAAAGTTGTGAGCAGTTACGTAGTGTTATAGGCGATACCACTTACCAGCGGAGAGAGGGAAGGTGGCAGCTGAGCGTAGAGGTCAAAGAAAAGCTGGGTTGTTGAGAAATCAAGAAACGCTGCAACACAAAGTGCACCAAACTGAGCGATACAACGCAGCAGCATAGCTCTTGCGCAGGCAAACTCAATAACAGAACAACAACACAGTGTAAGAATAAACAACATAAAACTGGGGGGAGGGGCAGGTGGAGGGGGCTCTAATAGCAAAAGCAGTTCAGTCCTTTGTTAACAGTCAACAAATCCATGTTTAACCCTCCTCTTGAGGATCAAAAGGTTATCAGACACTTGCTCTTCGCACGTCAGCGGAAAGTAGATTTCACGGTCCTTTCAATAAAGTGATAAAAATGGTAGGTCAGCGCTGAAACAAAAAAGTTTTGCACTCGGTCCGTTAGACCATGTCCTCAGAAAATGTCTAAAATATTAAGAGCGTAGGTCGAGCCGTTGAGATTTGTGCCGCAATTCCGTATTTCCTCCTATTCCTTAAGTTAAGGGGGAAATATTCCCCCTCCATTAACACATCTTGACCTTTGACCTTTGACCCTTAAATTCGACATCTCGATTCCTTTTCGCAATCCCCCCCCCCCTCCGACGTCCCGAATATCAAGATCGTACGTCGCGCGGTTAAGATTTGTGCCGTAACTGTTGACGCACGGACGGACATTCATGCGATTCTACAAGCTGCATCTGACTTTGTCAGCTGAGCTAAAAACAGAATGTAATCGGTGAATTTCGCAAGCTACAAATATTAATACGCTTGCTCTCTCTGCAACCTCCGTGAATGAGAATTATGCATCGAGTCACCTGCCCCGCTGTACCTGGTTTCCAGCATGTCGGTATCTGTACCGTGCACAGGTCATCTGAAGAGTCGTCCTGGGCCGTGCCGATGAAATCAAACGTGAGACAGTTGTGGGCTAGTCGCAGCAGCTGCGTCATTAACCCGTGCTGAAATCAAGCAAACAATTATACACCATTCACACAGTAAATGATTGCTACTATTTACGTATATCTGCATTTCATGCTTTCACCATGCGAGCAACAAAGCCTGCGAGCCCAAGTCCACAACGTGAACTTGCACTGGGAACAACATATTTATTTATTTTTTATATATCATATCTATTTGACTATATATATAGCTGATATAACACTATAGGCCCTTTCTTAGTAGCAATACCCTGAACATTAGATGCAAATGTCAATGCACCGTATTCATTTTACAAAATCACAAGGACTAAAACATCATTCCTACATAAAATCTCTGCTGAAAGAGGTTACCTTGCTCTCGTGGTTTAAATCTATGTTGATGTCTTTCCAACTCTCGAGAGCTGTACGGAGCAGAGTGCAGGAGAGTTGGAATATGTGGTAAAGCTGCGTGTCACGAAAGCTTGACGCAATCTTTCTGTGTTTGATTAGCGACCGGTTCGCTTCCGACTGCAAGATGTCATAGAATCCTCATTTACACACTCACTCGTACAGTTTTCGATCAAGCGTGTGACGTGTGGAACATCTATTGTTCACAAATTCTTTACTGATACGTGTGTTACACGCCGTAGCCTGTAACCCGCTAATTAAATATTTGTTGGTTAATACAGCTCACCAACGTTAATTAGAATAATGTTCCTTGTCAATGTTAGACAGTTATACTAAGAATTTTGTACAGGGGAGAGATTGTGATCCGCTAGGGGACGGGTCTGATTGGCTAATTTTGTCTCTTATTTATTTTATTTTTTATTATATTTGGCTAATTTTGTTTTATTTTAGAATTAGGGATAGGGTTAGGGTTAGGGTTAGGGTTAACTGATTTCTATATCCACAACTTATTTCTATATTCACTATCTCTCACCTGAGACCTATACTAAACGCTGCAAGATTTTCTGAAGCCACTATGTACACTATGTACTATGTATACTGTTGTCGTTATGTACTCTTTCATAATGAATGGTATATAGTTATTTGTTACCTCTGTTATTTGGTTCATTTCTTGTACTAGCTGAGCGAGGATTTGCACACCAATGATGCAATGGTCGACCGATCCCTGAAAAGTGAAACATTGCATTTCGTGATAAAACATTCCTAGTTTCGTCAAATCCATATATTTTTTATATTTATAACGACCTTTATTTCCAAAGGTACATATATATTGTACAATTCATTTGACACAAATCCATATATTTAAGTGCTAAGCTGCATCAGTTATACTAGTAATAAATTTCACATCACTGTATCCAGTTACTTCAGACTAAAAATTTACATTTTTATAAAATAGATGATATAAATAGATAGAACTAAACTATACTAAAAATATATAAATACGACAAATTTTCTTTTGCACATGAAGATTAATCACCTGTAAAAATTTCGTCACATCACCAGTTACGTGTCGGAAAACGTACGTTTCCTTGTTTGTATCAAACCACCCTACTTTTGCCAGTCTTGCATAGAGCTGTAAAGTAGCATGAACACCGCAAAATCATTAGGAATGTTCACATTAATCAAATGTATTTACACCTAATTATATTTATATACATTTATATTTATATATACAATTATATATATTTGTAATAATATGTTAGGTGTAATATATATTTACACCTGATCAAATACTCTAAAAAATTAATTCTTTTACTGTGGATATTGAACAATTTTCCTGATAGACATACCTGAACAATTGCTTGTGTCACAAAACTTGCAAGTTTAGGTCTATTCCCCAAATAATTCAGAATGTAGTCACCTAAATGTAAGGTAATGTAATTGTAACATGCGCTGACACATTTTTATCATAATGTAACTGTTTTCAAAACCCAATATATGACAAAAAATAATTATATATTATATATATATATATATATATCAATAATAACAAATATCTACATGAGAATAAAGACTGTAAATGCAATCCACATTATAAAACACATCTGCAAGGTATTATCGAGACTTTTCACATATAAACGTACGTATGTCAGCTCTCTGTTCCTGCGGTAATGTCACCTGTGGTCGTGACACTAGCTTCATCAACGTAGTTGCCGCTAACAGCTGTGCATATGAAGACTAGAAAAACAAGCCCTTATATCAACAATACTATTGTCTTCGCCCATTCGATACAAAAACATTAAACAAACTTTACAAAGCGTTTCTTTTGCAACAACATTTCACAGCATCCTTATCGGCTAGTAATCGTTTTGATCCTGAGAATGATGATGGACACCGACAAGCATTCGACCTGCATGACCTCTGCATGACCTTTGTTCACTCACACTCTCTCGCTCCAGCAGGATTTGGCATTTCGATAAGCAGTCAGGCGAATTTGTGAACTCGATGAGCGCTTTTTCCGCCTGGGTGCGCTGAGATGCGTCCGTTGTTTCGTACAGCTGCTTACACAGAACCTCCAGCTGAACAACCTACGATAGAACAACACACAACTCGTACACAGAACCTCCAGCTGAACAACCTACGATAGAACAACACACAACTCTTACACAGAACCTCCAGCTGAACAACCTATGACAGAACAACACAACTCTTACACAGAACCTCAAGGTGAACAAGCGGCGACAGAATAACATGCATATCTTACACAGAACTTCCAGGTAAACAACCTACGACAGAACAACACAAATTTCCGACAAATGCATTTTGTACAGTTGCCTGAGAACTCATTCTCATTAATTTTCCGCAAACGTTTTACGTGTTCAGAGTGATGTGATTTGCAAGGCACACAGCAGCCATTTATACCTGCAAAATTCACGTGCTTTCTCCTACTAGCATGTGCAGAGTTTCTTACACATAAGAGGCACAGTGGCGCACCACCATTGTCAAATTTAACAGTGCCGTTGTGAAAATGCTCTAAGACATTCACATTTTTAAAATTTTGCTGGGAGAGACCCCTCAGAACCCTCCCTCTTTCCCCCTGCGTCCGCGTGCAGCGTCCGCCTTTGAATCCATCATGCGTGTTTTTTCCCAAACTGGCCATTACCTCCTTTGTCTTATTTTCCCTCAAAAGAAACCCTGATGTGCCTGCAGCAAATAAAAATGGTATTACTTCGTATGGAATATGATGGAATAAGAAAGAATGTCCGAAATTTTATCACATACTGACAATTGTTGCTCCTGCTGTTCTACCCACACTTCACACGTCAAATTAGAAGGCTTATTAAGCTTGTTCAGGATGTCATTTTTGGGGCTTCATCACAGAACTAGTACACATTACCAATATTGATTTTTGCCAAAGCGGTTTTAAGAGATAACATGCATTTTCTTTGGCCTCACCAATTATTATGTCATCAGCTGTAAAGTTACCCGTTTATATTGCTATGTATAGGAATATTATTATGCATATGTAGTGAGTGCAGTAGCACTTATGTAATGTAACTAGGGTTTGTTGATCTTACATGTGCACACGTTAGATGCACACCAGGAGTGAGATACGCACAGTACATCAAGCACAAGCTGGATGGAAACTAGACGGATTATGCCAACCCAACTTTGGTGGTAAATCTCACGTGCGCGTGGTCGAAGGTAAATTAATCTACGCATGCATGCTGTGTGCGGAGAGGAATAATCACCGAATACCCAGAGTGACGCCTTCCTTAAGCAATCAACAGACTTTGCCAGAAGTGTATGTACTCTCATGTGTTCTGCTACAGTTAGCTAGCATGTGAGTTAAGGCTCCTGCATGGCCCTCCCCATTTAAAAGATTCTCAATAATGAGTGGCACTCTGTATGCCGTCTAATCTTCCTAGCTTACTATAATTAGCACATGTACAGGGGTTGAAATTAGTGGTATACCAATATCCGCGGGATTGTAGATTCTTGTGTTGGATACCAGATTTCAATGCTTGGTATCCCGCCGGTAAAATCTTTAAATATGCAATAATAGCATTTGAAAATTATTAATATGTAATGTAATTATTATATAAAAACATGAAAACAGATTCACAGATATGCACAGACAAGTACACTGCAGACGTATTGTCTAGACGCATTGTCTGGTTCGCTTGATACAATGTATACACATCACATTTATGATCAGATAGCGTGCACTCGCTCTACGTGCACTCGCTCAGATGCGCTGCCGTATAAAGTTGATAACTCAACAACCACTCTCCCGATTTTGACGATTTTTTTTTACTATGGATACCAACATTGTTGAAATTACTATCCAAAAAATGGGATACCAGATCTTTGGGGAGGATAACAGATTTCAATACCTGGTATCCCGAATGGATACCATAATAAAAATTTAATTTCGACCCCTGCGCTGCCTCTTCTTACAGGCCTCTCTGCCTTCCCTTTCTCTTGCTCCCTTCTTAATTTTGCTTCCTGCCCTTACAGCCCACTCTGTCCTCCCTTCTCTCAACCCTCATTTATCCCGCTCCCTGGTCTTACAGGCGGCTCTTTCCTACGTTTGTCTTACCTCCTTCATTATTCCTGCCTGATTCTCCTCATTTACAACCATTTTACAACCACCATGCCTTCATGATCACCTGTCACCCTCCTCGAACCCTTCCTCACATACTACCTCAAACATCTTTAACCTCCTCTTTCTCCTCTTCATCTCAACACATTCTCCCTGTACTCTCTCACAATTCTCTCTATCCTCTTCCTTTTGCACCTACTTCATAGAACGTAATTGACAGGGAAAGAGACCACACAGTGACTATTTTCCCCTGAAGGAACTGTATTAAATGACAACAACAACAGCAGCAGCAGCAGCAGCAGTAGCAGCAGCAGCAACAACAACAACAACAACAACAGCTTGCAATGACAGTGCATCATACCACCCTACAGACTGAGTGTTGCACTCATACATGCAACTATTTCTCTACACTGACTGTGGAATACCGCGTTTTACTGCGGACTTCCTGTATTTCATGTGACAAAACATGTATCATTGTATTTACAATATTAGTATCGTATCATGACTCTAGTGTATCGTTGCCATTCTAGTGAACATGGCGGGGGCAGTGGCTTGAACCACAGGCACTTGGAGCGTTTCAATAAAATATAATGCTCAATAAATACGAAATCTATTTACTACCAAAGTCTTAATGTTTCTCCACTCTTTACATAAACTGCGCAACGGGAGCGAACGCGAGAATTTCGTCAGGCTTTGTGTGATTTCGCGTGTACAGCTCGGCTACGAACACAGACAGTATGTTTTTATAACAAGTGAACACTGTCCTTCAAATAGAAACAAAGATGGAGTAGAATGGTTGAATAATGGGGTTAGCCGCTAGCTTTGTCAGCAGGTGGCG